GTGGAATATCAATTCTTTCAAGGTTGTAGAATTCTACTTGTAAACTATACCAAATTTTGCTAGTTGTTAGCCTCATACTAAAACTGAGCTTATACTTGAATCAAAATGTGGACTAGTCAAAACGGGCAAAGAGACTATATCATTCTTTATTCATTCAAACATTTCATTGCATTATTATTCCATTCAAATTTGTGCATTGTTCTAAGTAACTTGAAGAATGGTTTTGCTTTCTTGGTCACTTTAGGAATGAACTGAACTAAAGAAACTAGTTTTCCATTTAACCTTTGCACCCCCTTTATATTCTGAGGATTTTTCATGACAAGCATGGCCTCACATTTGTTAGGATATGCTTCAATTCCTCTTTTCCTAATCATAAACCCAAAATATTTTCACTATTAACCCCAAATACACATTTTCTATATTAAGTCTCTTGTTATGTTTTCGCACCTCAGCTAAGACTCTTTCAAGGTGACTGACATGATCTTAGCTTTTTGGGTTTAACAACCATGTCATTTACATATACTTCCATTATATCACCGATTAAGTGTTTGAAAACTTTATTTATCAGTCGTTGGTATGTGGTCCTAACTTTTTTCATGCTAAAAGGCATGACTTCATAACAAAAATTAGCCTTTTCAACGATGAAGGTTGTTTTTTTTTTTCCCATCAAGAGGATACATGGGTATTTTTACCTAGAGTAAACATCTAGAAAACTAAGTACTTCATAGCCAGAAATGTTATCCATTAGCCGGTTAATGCTCGACAAGGGATAGAAATCTTTTGGAAAAGTTTTGTTTAGATCAGTGTAATCAACACACATGCACCATTTACCATTAGAATTTTTTTTTACTAGCACTACATTTTCTAGCCAAGTGGTATAAGTTACTTGTCGAATGAACTTGAATTTCATCAATTTTCTACTTCAAAAATTACATTTTTACATATTTATTCTCCTAACTTACGTTTTCTTTATGCTATAGGTTTAACTCCATATAGAATAGAAAGTTTATGACACATGAAGTTAGGATCAATACTTGGAAAATGTTAGTTACGCTCTAGGAAAATAGATTGACATTTCTATTGAGCACCTCTGCCAGTTGTGCAAACTTATTCTTATCCATAGCATTCCCCACCCAAGTAATTTGGCTAGGTTGTGCTCCAAGTTTGAACTCAGTCAATGGTTCATCAAATTTAGGCCTTCATTCATCCTCCTTGTGGCGAGGATCTACAATCTCTTCGACATTATTCTAGCTATGTAACTTGAGTTCATCATTGCTTTTCTTCAACGAATATGGCCAAGTTTTCAAGCTTAGAGTGTATCACTCTCTGCCTTCTTTAGGATCTACCTTAATTGTGGTGATACACCTTCCTTTCTTTTGTTGGGAATTTCAAGGCCAAGTGTGGAGTGGACACAATGGCTCCGAGTTGATTGGGTGTTTTCCTTCCTATTAAAACACTATAGGATGTATATGCTTCTATCAATATATATCTCACCTGAAGACTCTTACTTCCCTCACCAATGCCAAAAGTCATCAACAGATCAATAAAACCTCAAGTATAAACTCGCTCACCAGCAAAACCAACCAGAGGATTAGGGTATTTTGGATCAAATCATGTGAGATGTCCATCCTAAAAAGGCTAGACTAGTATAAGATATCAGTCAAGCTCCCCTAGTCAACCAATTTTTTTTGAACTCCCTAGTTGGTTATATTGACTGTGATTACTATGGGATCGCCTTATTTAGGATCATGGTAGTTGAAGTCGTTATCGATGAAAGTAATTGGAGGCATCATGTTGCCTCCTCCAACGAATCCTCCAGCTATTGGCTTTATTATGCCTTTAACATCCTTGGTTGAGGTATTTTGCATGTGAGCGATTGGTTGAGAGTCTGATATGGGAGGACCTTGTCCTCTCCCCCGGCCACCAAAACACGAACAACCTCAATCCCTATAACCTCAAGAGTTTTCTAGTTTATAACTTTTATCCTTATAGTTTTGAATAAAATTTCAACAGTAAAGAGATTCCCAAGCTTTAAACTTGGTTGCCTCCATATTCTTGAAATATCGGGCATACCTTCTCCTCCCACGAGTTCCCCTCCCCCCCCCCAAGTAGTCCTATGGTTAGATTCACCTTCAAAGTGAGTATCCGCTTTGAGAGGTGTGGATTGGTACCATGATTGTAATTGGTTGGATGAGCCATAATACCTCAAAGGAGGTCTCATCAATAAACATAATTGTTTCTCTATTTCCTCACTCTTTTTCATGAAAGCATGTATCTCAACTTCATGTTTTCGTTCAATTCTGGCAATTTCTACCTCATTTCTTTGTTACGTCTCTTTGATATGTAGTTTCAAGTTATTGGTGATATCTTTGTGACTCATGGTGGTAGTGAGTGTAAGTCTTATGCTTTTGTCAAATCAAGACGGTCAAGCTATGAAGGTCTAGAATCAATATGATCTAGTTGTGAAGAGTGATGGGGCAAAGGACCTGCAAAACACTTTTATGCTTAAATCAATATGTGAATGATATATATATATATATATATATATATATATATATATATATATATATATATATATGAAAAGTAAATTCTTATATTATTTACCAATTTTTTATGCACTTAATGTGTAAGTGAAAAGTTAATACAATTGATTAAGACAATAATATACTCAATTATTACTTTATGAAGGGTTCCTTTTGATATTTAGGAAAACGAGATAAGCACAAAACTTATTAATTATATTTAGGTATTTGAACACACAAATATAATAAGTATCCCAATTTATCTAATAAAAATATTAATTAATAAATAAAAATTTAAAAATATTCATATAATTAGATGTGTATTATAAAAAATAATAAAAATAATTTTACATAAAAAAAAAATTGGTGGACTAATACACACTAATTTTATTGGGTTTTTTTCTTATTATATCAAATTTTACCAATATTTGTGAAATTCTTGACTTTTTTTTAATTTAATTAGGTGTAAATGAACCATAACTATGTAGTCCTATTCCTAAAAGATTTATCCCTAAATAACATATCCAAATTATAAGAAAGCCCATGGAGGCCGCTATTGAAGAATTTATATATTCAAATTTTTGATTTTTTCTAGTATGTAAATAAATCGTGAAAATAGTCCAAGTAATAAAAGCCCAAGTTTCCTTTGAATCCCAATTTCAATATGATCCCCATGCCTCATTAGCCCATACTGCTCCTGATATATTACCTATAGTTAAAAAGAGAAAACCTAGACTAATAGTACGATAACCCCAACGATCCAATTGTTGAATAAATTGTGATCTATAATAATTTCTATAAGATGATTTCATATTCATGTATTTGATTTCAGCAACGAGTTTTTTGTAAAATCTTATTTTTATCATTCATATTCATGTATTTGATTTCAGCAAAATAAAATGATTCATTAAAAAAAGAGAAAGTCTTGTACAATCAGATGTACATACGGTATGTATAGGATTAGCCGCTTCAATAGGATCATTTCTTTTGGCGGGAGGTACAATTACCAAGCGTCTAGCATTTCCTCACGCTTGACGCCAATGATTCTTTTCTTTGAGAATATATATATATTATACCTTCGCCATAAAAATAAAAGTAAAAATAGCATGGTATTTTGAATTCCATTACCGTGTCTTAATGCATAAAGACTAGATAAATTAAAATGAGATGAATAAGATGAATAACCCCTTTTACAACTCCCAATTAAGATTGATTCACACTTTACAAATTTCAAATGTCATTTAAAATAAAAATCAAATCAAATTGACGACGACTCAATGTAATTTTCATGTCTAATAATATGTTTAGATGAAAGTGTTCACTAACTTAATTTTGAAAAAAATTGATTCTAGTTATTGATTTCGAAGTGACGTGCTTCATAAATTTAGTAGTGAAATTTATTATAAGTTTTTTATTACAATATAAATTTTCTATTCAACGCATACAATCTGCTTAAAATTTCTTCAACACAAAGTTAATTTCTCAACATAAAATTATTTACCTCAAAACACATTAAATGATATTTTAATATGATTGTGAAAAGTCTAACTCAAACCCAAACAAGCAATATATTAACTGATAATTTACAAATTGAGAGACAATTAGGTCATTTTTGTAAATTTCAAAAACCCAATCTAAGTAACCATTAAAATTTCAGAAACTAAATTATGATTCTCCCCCTCCTTGGAACAAAATAAAAATTTGTTTGATTTGATATAAATAACCACCAAAAATTATGACAAAAATTAAAAATAATTTTAATAATAAAAATTAGTGATTTAATGTAATTATTAATAAAAACAATAATACCCATTACTGAAACCAAAAAATACCTTTTTAGCAATTTTTCTTTTTTATTTTTTAAAATTTATTTTAAATAAAACAGATATTAACCAAGATATTTTAGTTTTTAAAAAAGAAGAAACTGAAAATTATTTTTAAAAATAATAATTAAAGATCCCATCCGATACTCAATAAATTTACGTAGCATTTAACCTCCCTATGTTAGTTAGTGCAGCCTGAAATAGTTTGACTGAAATGGTTCAAAAAATCACGATGAGGCCCCATAAGTTTGCATGCTTACCAGGATTATACAAGTTTCTTGCTCTACATAGAGAATGGATTTGATTTGCCTCAAAACTCATTTCTGGGGGGAAGACTTGTGTCGTGTAAAGTTATTCACCCTTGCATAAACTTTCTATCATGCCCATGTCTAAATTATTGCTATATTGCTTTAGATAACTCTTCTTGCTTCCTAACTTCATGTTTTGCCATCTTGACATTTTACTTGGAAAGTTACCATCTTTTGAAAAATTATAAACACCACAACTAAAGTTTCAAGCTCATGCCTTGAATTGAAGAGCAGCAATATTTCAAAGGATCAATAAAGCCCACGAACAAGATTTGCAACATTCAGGGCCATCAATCCTCAAAGTTATATGCCATACATAAATAGCTAAAACCCTTTCCTGCTGGCTTCTATTTGGAGGCCAGTGTCCAGAAATTCAAAATAAATGAGGGAGAAGCAGCAAACCAACTCATAAAAGCCATTGCCGTTGCTGTTTCAAACCTGCTGCAATGGTTCTGCGCACAATCATTCAAATCATTGCCAATGAGAACTGTGATACCAGCAGAAGCACAGGCTGCAGAAAATGTAAGTGTTGAAGTAATCTGCAGCAAATTCACAGGAGAAAAACTTAGTTTAATAATAAAATAAATTAAAAGAAAAATACCACATATAAGTAGCTCTGCACTATTTTTATGAATTACAGTACAGTATACCACATTACTAAAATAAATGAACGAACAAATACATATTCCCAATAATAGTGTAGCTGAAAAAGTTAATTTCAGCATCATCCCACTTAAATTAAGTCTAAATAATACATGCAAATAACTAAATAATCGGTCCCATAGCTAAAATGCATTTTGTCAATGTACATTGTCAAATCACTAGCATATCATATTAGTCTATGTATCATATGCAAATAACTATTATGTGTACGGTTATATTTTTAATGCACAATGACTGAACTTTTTCACTACTTTTATAGCTACCATGGTTACAACTTTCTTGGATACTTAATCAAACCCAGAGACAGTTTCTTTGCCAGAGTGTTCAAGACAAGAGTAGTGATGATAGCATCAATTTTACAAGATTAATTACACAAGTTAACAAAGTGTTCCAGCATTGCCTTACCCCATCACCAATAGAGAATAAGCGGACCATTATAACATTTCGGTAGCCACGCTGTACTAAAATGGCATAAATATCAGCAACTGCCAAAGAGAGGCTCCACAAGCTCTGCAAGCTGACAGCAGCAACTAGGTAGCTGGCACAGCAAATACAGCAAATTCGATTATGCTATGTCGAATATGTAAACTGGGAATGTAGATATCATCAAATCCTAATGATCTGATTGCCTTTGCAAACATTACAGTAGAAATACACAAATTCAAGGAAGTGGAGTTGCCCTACAAATTGGAACATGACTCACTATAATTCATAAAATGTAGTTTTCAAATATAATCATCTCTTATTTTCATTCCGAGTCTTAGATTTAAGACTCCTAGTTAATATAGAGTACAAATTCTTCCTAAACAAAATTTGTTCCAACCAAATAGATAAGAAAGCAAAAGCTTGAACAGATAAAAAATTGTATTTTCAGATGGAATAAAAAATTGCTAAAGTATGGGCCTTGTGCCACAGAGGTCGGGTACAAACATTCAACAATGCCACTAAGTTTCATTGAAATTCAGATTTTCAGAAAAACTATCGAGGTCTTTTAGTGGTGTTTCTCTAAAGTTTTCTTCAGTTTTCCTCTACCTTTTAGTTGGACTATATTCCATTTGATCCACTTTTCTCACTAGAGCCTCAATTGACTTTCTCATAGCATGACCAAACCACCTTAAGTGTGTATACCCCATACTCCCCTCATTAGGTGTTATTCCAAATTTCACCCAAATGTATTACCTCACAATTTTATCTCTTCCCGAAAGTCCACTAATCAACATAGGCAAGGTCCAGATAAGTCCGAAGACAGTAAATTTGGAATATTCAAAAGATGAGAAAATAAAACATGAATGGGAAATAAAGTTTTAACGGCTTGGAAGGGTGACTTTAGAAGAAGCCAAGGTCTCCCACCCATTTTCTGCTGCTATTATGTTGCCAACGATGAGGAGATATTGGTGAGACATAAATTTCAGAAAAGATAACAAAAAATTGGTTAAAGTGGTTTGGACATGTTCATAAAAAGAAACCGGTAGGAAGATCAAATTGCATGGGTCTTTAGTTCTAGGAAAAGGGGAGATAGTAACCAAAAGGACATTTAAGGAAGTTGTTAAGAAGAATCTCATGGTGAATAATATCTTAGAAGATTTGGCTTTTAACCAAACCATATGGCAAGATGTAATTCAATGTAGTCAATCTCACTTACCAGGATAACAATTTTGTTGTTGAAGTAGTAAGTTGCTAAAGAAAATACAACGAAAAGTAAGCATTGATTTAACCAATCCATCACCTAAGTATCTTCAAAAATAATGGCTAACAAGTTACTGGCCAACTAAAACAATTCTCAGACTTCTTAGAAGAACAATTGCCCTCTTTAGTATGAACCTGAGACCACAAAACTCCCATCAATGCCTGCCTTCAAAATACCCACCAAGGTCCTGACTATTCAAACAACTAAAAGAGAGTTTAGGTAGAGAAACCATTTCTTTCTTAATTCATTGCATTTGACAAAAGTAGAGAAGCCCATCACCCCTTGTCTTTTTTAGTAGAGTAAATTACATTGACACCCTAAAATTTTGTTAGTTTATAACCAATACCTCTCCTTTTTCTCTCCTGCATTAGCCTCTCTAATTGTTCGAAAAGCATTAATTAAAAACATTCAATCATATACCTTTACAAGGAAAGTTGTTACAAACGGTAAAAAATCAAGAAGATTACATGCAGTCAGACAAAAACTTCAAAGGCTGTCTTTATAATTTACCTTTTATGGCAAAAAGACTACATGTGAGACAATCACGCTCTAGACCGAAAACTCACATAGATAAACTGTATGGAATTGCGGTCTCTTAAATCGTAGTCTCCACTTCAAGAACTCGCCCCACTTTACAAAACCCAATTTTGAAAATACCCCATTATAGAAAAAAACTGGCTTGTTGATTTTCAACAACAATCGCCACACCCCCAATCAAATTAAAAAAAAAAAAAAAAGCAGAAAAAAAAGGAAATGAATCCATTAAGTGAAAATAAAGGAAAGGGGGGGAATTGAATAATTTACCGGAAGGCAGTGACGGAAGGGAAATCGGAGGTGGTGGCCATGACGGAGAGGGAAACGACGGCGAAGGAGAACTGAAGGAAGCGCAAGAGGAAACCACCGAGGGTGCCAGGCATGCCCTGAGTGGCCTTCAAAGTGTGTCTCGGGGGCATTATAATTATATGGTCGGTCATGGGTGGGGCTTCGATTGGGTGAACCGAAGGGTGGACCATCGATATCGACATGGCAAACAAAGCATGCAAGAACAAGAACAAGAACAAGAAGAAAGGGTTTTTCGGTGTACAGGTTTTGCTTTGCTCCACCAAATGTTGGTGCTACTACTGGTGCTAATGGAACTTTCTCATGCTTTTGTTCTTTCATCTCATTCTTTCCTCTTTCACTCTTTCTATTTCTGATAAGGTTTGTTACTTTTTCACTTAGTAAACATCGAATTTGGTATTTAGTCTCTAAATCTAACAATAATTTATTTTAGTTTTGATGTTTTTATAACGTTGTAAATTTAAACCCAAAATGTTATATAATAGAATTTAACTCAACTTTATAATTAGTTAAATTAAACTAAATGATGTAGTGTTCCTACTATAATTACGTAATAAAATAAAACTAAATTATATAATAATATAAATTTTTATCAATATCTACATCATAAAATAAGCATTTCAAAATAATACAATTATGTATCTATTATAAAATCTAAATTTAAAGAAGATGATTTTATCACATCTTTTTCCATTGACTACTAAAAATATCATATATAACATATCACATAAACTAAAATAAATTATTGATAAAACTTCTATCATAAAAATTACATATAACATTCATATTTTACATCATTAACTCATTAACCAATCAATCATACATAACAAATATATAATGAATCAAAGGTCTAACTTTTAATGCATATGTTACATCATTTCATGTCATCACACATTAATATTTATATATATATATATATATATATATATATATATATATATATATATATATATATATATATATATGACAAATATTTAACTTTACATAAGTATTGAATTGAACTCAAATATTTATATATGTCGACACTATATTCCTTAAGTAGATATATCTAACATAAACATATAATTGAAATACATTTTATCATGTGACAAAGTTAATCTTTATGATGTAATTTCTTTTTCACATTTCAGAGCCAAGTCAAACATCTCCTTCAATTCTCACAATTGGATTCTTTCTTTTATGAAAGTCTAGTATCGATTGAATCAAGATATCTTATTATTAAAAACTCAAATTCAATATATCACTTACATTTTAATATAGTATTCCCTCCTTTGAAAGCAATATGTTTATTTTCACAACACATCGCATGTATAATATATATTCAATCCACATAAATAAATTTTCATGTAATTCATACCTATCATTCTTTACCACAATCAAATAAAAATATATTATACATTTAATTACAAGTTCATGAGTTAAATTCATTAAATAATTTTTTTTCCAAAAGTTCATGTTTTTCACGAGGCATTCTCTCTTGAGCAAGATTTCTTTCCAATTTTCTTATTCTCTAGAATGTTCTCGCCTGAGCGAAGATGTTATCGCTTGAGTAAGGACTCTCTCGCTTAAGCGACCAGTTCTTATTTGAACGAAAAAACAATATACATAAAACCCCAAACAACTTGAGCATTATCACTTGAGTGAAAATTTCTCGCTCAAGAAGAATGAACCTAAGACCACCTCTCCAAATCTGAAGGTTTCGTTGCTTAAATAAAAGTCTCCAACTTGAGTAAAAATTATGCAAATATCATTCTTTGCATAATTTCTCAAATAGTTTCCAACCCAAATTCAAATCAATTACACATCCTTGCATAAATTTAGTGACCAAGTCACTACACCACATTCAGACTATCACTCCTAATGTACTAAGAAGTTAAGTTACAAGTTTCCCATACCTCAAAATAAACTTTTCTAAGATAAAAGTTTCCTATTTACTCAAAATACACATGATCTTCAAACCTACTCACAAAAGACATTTTTTCTAGAAAATTTAGCACACCTCTACAACCCTAAACTAAGCAAGATTTATCTTTACCCCAAATTGACCAAAAATAAGTAATATAGAGTACATGCAACACCTAACACCATATGCAACCCACCTTAGATAAGGAGTAAGGAGAAACTTATTCTAATGAGAATTGTAATCCGGTAGAAATCTTTTTTTCCCCTCTATGAGCAGTATAATGTGTTTATACTACAAAAAGATAGAAATATGTAAAGGATCTTAGATAATGTTGGTTTGGACTCTCAACTAAATGTCTAAAAATTCCAAACTAGTAAAACTCATTTTATCTCACTTAACCTACGTGGAGAGAGGTCTTCTAGATCAGAATAGAGAGGGTAAATTTTTGCAGCCTTTAGAAGAGAAAATTGTTTGGCATATTTATTAAGTTGCCTTAGTGAAATTATGATTCACACTTTGTTGTTCACCATTTGATTAGGTTGAAATTTTGACAGCAAATTCGCAATGTATCATTCTTTATTTTGACTGTTAGGATCATCAATTGGATGTTTGTGGTTGAAGATATTAGTCTCGTACTATGGTTATCTTTTAGGTTTGTCTTTCTTTATTCTTTAAATTTGAGAGTATTATTTCATTGATGTATTGGTTACTTGTAGGAACTTGTTTGTATGTTTGATTTAACTCATTTATATCCATATTTGATCTTAGTGGAGCTTGATTGACTAGCTTATATGATAGATTTTAACTTCTCATATTGAGGAGGTTTTCCCACATTAAAAAGATTGGTGTTTTCTTTTGTGATTATTCTTGTCATTTTTTTATTGTTGTTGCTCCTCACAAATTCTTACAAGTTTAGAAAAATTATTTTTACTATATACTTTGGTATTTTTTTTATTGTTGTTTTATTGTTTTCCCTATCTGAGTAACATTAAAGTTGTTGGTTTGATGGAGACAAATACAAATATGGTTGCTTTAAATGGTACAAATTATAATTTGTGAAAGGGCATGATGAAAGATTTGTTGTTTGTAAAGAAATTGCATCTTCTAGTCCTTGCTACATAGAAGTTGAGTTCTATGTCTAATGAAGAAAAGGACTTTAAGCACCAACAAGTGTGTGGTTTTATTTGATAATATGTAAAAGGCAATGTTTATAATCACATTGTTAATGAGACACATGCTAGAACTTTGTGGGATAAGATTTTCTTTTATGTTTCTATGTTAGACAATAATAAATTGTGGTTGTTAAATTGCTTGATGAATTTGAGGTATATGGAGAGTTATTCCATTTCAGATCACTTAAATGAGTTTCAATGACTCTAGATCAACTATTAAGAATGTGTATCAACTTTGATGATGAATTTTTGAGACTGGCTACTAAATACTCTACTAGAGTCTCAGGAGATATTTTGAGTTTCAAATAGTAGTGCTTTTAATGAAGAGATGAGAAGGAAGGCGCATGATTCTTCATCTCATTCTATGGTCCTTGTCAAAGAAAATAAGGGGAGGTAAAAAAAAGGAACTAAAGGGTGGCAAAGAGAAGAGTAGGAGCAACTTCAAGTCAAGATACAAGAATGTGGAGTGTCATTATTGTAATAAACTTGAGCACATCCAAAAATACTGTTTTAGGTGGAAAAAGAAGAAAAAAGGAAAGAAAGGCAAGAAGAATTTGAGAATGATGATGATGATTGTATTACTAATACTATATATGGTGATCTTGTTCTTATCTATGATTATTATTCTATCAATCTTTCATCTAATGGGAGCATGTGAATAATCAATAGTGGTGTTATAGTGCATGTTGTAACCCCCTTATCGATTACATTTATTAATCCTAATTTATTATTTAAGTTAGTAATATTTTCAATATTCATAGAAGGTTAATAGAAAATATACCAAGTGAACAATTTATTTAAGTAAAGTTTTATATTAAATCAAGCAACAAGTTCTATAACAAAGTTTTCAAAATATTACAAGTCATAAAGTTATATTTATATATTATACAATTCTCAACCTAAGCTCTGGATTTTTGCATCCGACATCTATCTCTTGAATTATGTATTCCTGCATCATATGTCACCAACATCCGGAATTGAAATATTTATGGGGTTAGACATTTAATTTTATCCACAACAAATAAAGCAAATATTTATACGATAAAATCAACCAATGAAACATCCCTTCTAATAAATATACAACCATATATAATTTAATTTAAAATTTATTATGAGAAACAAATAAATAAATCATGGAATCATAATAGAGAATATCGTACAAATCATGAATAATCTACAATTTTATCATGCAATATGTTTATGATATGCACATGTGACTCCAAACGTAAAACTTTAAAATCATGCTTTTGACTCAAAATAAAAAATTATTTTTGACTCAGTGCTCCATGGAGACTCATTTGAGTGTTTAGTAGAACCAGAGCTTAACATCACCCTGTTCGGTGATTCGGCAATGTCCCATTAAACGCGAACAAGTAGGCAGTAGTCAGAGTGTCAGTGCACCCGGCAGGCTACCACGGCACGAGAATCAAATAAAGACTGGCCACTTATGGAATTGCCCATGCCCAAACACTCCCTAGACCGAGAGGTCCATCCCCATAGACCGAGGTCCTGTCTTACCTATTCTACTCCCCCATTTACTATCGAGATTCGGTAGCTCAATTCTTAATAATTCATTCTCTCGTCTCATTTGGCCGACCATTTTCATAGTCATATTCCACTACCGAGATGCTCTTGATAGTAAATTGACTCACAGAAATATTTTTAAAATTATGGTTTGCACATCATTACTACTACCAACCTGTCCTTGGTAGCTACTTAAGAGAAATTTCCAAATACTTTTCTTTAAAAAAACTTTTCGTGACTTCCAGAAAACATTTCATGCACTATGTTTATATCTCGTATGAAACAAAACAATCTATCATCAATTAAGTACTTAAAAACATCTCCTTCATATATTCAAAATTTTAATTACAATTCATAGTTGTTTTAAGCAAGACAATTTTTATTAATAATTTATTTCATAGGGTTCAGTATTTTGTCCATATCTTGAGTTCTAGACCTCATTTTAAGATGATTCCAATTGTGTTGGAAAGATAAGACAATAATCTATAACTTTGATGAAGGCACTATCCTCAAATTCTAACGTTTATTGAGTCGT